AGAGAGAGAGAGAGAGAGAGAGACACACAGAGAGAGAGAGAGAGAGACACAGAGAGAGAAGGAAACTCGGTAAGCTCGGTGCATTAGAGGCAGGATAACAGACCTGTCTGACCGTAAGCTGTGATTTACAACTATTCCATAGACCGCATAACTAGTCATGACTTCTTTACTTGGACTCGACCCAAAGTGCATTTGTACCTCCTCCGCCCCCACAGCGACCAAAACAAGCCCAAAGTACCGGCCGCTTCCCACCTCGGCCGCCCGGCACAAGCGTCCCCAGCGCTTAAACACACATACACACAAATATGCACACACACACACACCGGTCCCCGGCGCTGGGAATAAACGTGGGAACTGCAGCTCGGGCGCAACTGTGAGTTACGCATGAGAAAAACGGTCAACGGTTCCGAGGCGAAGGTCAGGCGCCCTGTCAGGCCGCCGCGCGAGCCCCAACGGCCGCCGCGCGAGCCCCAACGGCCGCCGCGCGAGCCCCAACGGCCGCGGGGCTGCCGCGGCCGGCCCTGCCCCACGCCGCGCGGGCAGCCCCGGGCGGAGCGCAGCTCCCCCGTCCCGCCGCACACCTGGGCCAGGAGTCGCTCCACTTTCTCCTGCATCATCGCGTTCAGCTGCTCCAGGGACAAGGCGGACAGCGGCGGGAGCGGCGCGGCGGCAGCGGAGAGGCCCCCCCGGGCGCCCTCGATGGCCGAGAGTCTCGCCTGGAGGTCGCTGGTCCGCACGCCCAGGTAGGCGCAGGCGGCCGCCGCCAGCGCCGAGAGGAGGGCGGCCAGCGCCGAGGCGCGGCTGCCGCCGCAGCCGGGCTGCCCGCTGCCATCCCGTCCTGCGGCTGCCCGCCGCTGCCCCGGCAGGCTCTTGCACCCTTCAGCCGCGGCTTTTATTTCCTTACCTCCGCCCCCCATGGAGGCGAGCGGTTTACAAAGAGCAGCAACAGAAAACAACAGCCAAGTACGACAAGGTAAATAAATAAATAAAGCGGAATAAATAAGCAGTTGCGCAGCGGAGCAGCCGGGTCACACACTTTGAAGGCAGAGCGGTGGCGCGCACCGGAGCCGCGGCGGGCGGGAGGCAGGCGGCGCCGGGCGGCCACAGAGCGAGCGAGGGCGCAGGCGGCGGGGCGAGCGCCTCGCTGCTCCAGGCGCCGGCAGGACCGCCCTTCGCGGGGCTAGCGCGCTCCGCGAGCGCTTCGCCACTTGTCAGGGAGCCGCGGGGCGGGAAGGCGGGAAGCCCACCCCACCTCCCTCCAACGGACTTGTTGCTCCACCTGCGGCGGCGGCAGCAGCGGCAGCAGCAGCGCCGCGTCGCGCTGCACTGGGCCGGGCCGGGAGGCGGCCGCGTGTCCCGCCGCCGCCCCGCGAGCCGCCCGCTCTGCCCCAGCCCCGGCTCGTTAGCATAACGCATGCACCTAGGCGCTGCTTTGCATAATGTATGCGCGGCTCATTTGACTAGCAAATGAGGGGGCGGGGCGCGCGGGCCTCGCGGCGCGCTGCAAAACACCGTTATTTCCCGCAGTTTCCCATCCACGAGCCCACTCGGAGCCCCCCTCCCCGGGCAGGGGCACACACCAGCTTGCCTTGCTCCCTTCCGCTCAGGGCCTCCTTCTTGTGCTAATTTCCTTCAGCTCATTTTCCTTCTGCTCCTGCTTGTTTATTGAGTTGCTGCTTCACTGTTCCATGCACAGTGCCGATCCGCATGGCTAGGAAAGAAGCATTAACGTGGGATGAATTACACGGTGGCTGGCCGGAAAGCTCCTTTCCTGCTCTCTTCCCCAGTGCCACTTCTCCTCCAAGCACTGTGTTTACCTGCTGTAGTTGGGCTCCCATTGYGGCGTTGCAGCCAGCTGATTGAGGCAGATGCAAATGTGCAGTGCTCCATCCCTTGCACTGCTCAGGCCTGAGACACTGCTCTGACGATGGCCAGGTGCCCAACCTGCGTTGTGTTACTCGTGCAAATCTGCCCAGTGACACCTTAGAAGATGCAAAGACCCTCAGGCTGAGAAAGAGAATTCACCAGCAGTAGCACTTCTCAGGTAAGACTCAGTGCTGCAGTGAATTGAATTTCCTTGCAGAGCTGTATATGCAGAGTTTTATTACCTGTTGTTCTGRAGTATTCAAGCAGCAGCTACTGTCAGAAAAGCATGAGTCCCCAAAGCTGTGTGGTTCAGTGGAATTGCGTGGTCATTGGAATAGGAGTACCACAATTTCACAGTTAGGCACTGACCATTTGCAATTTGTTTTTCTCCTTCCTAAAAAGAAGAAGGTGTTTTATAGACTATAGTCAAGAGGAAGAAATCACAATTGCACATCCTAGGTGATTCACAGTGAACAGTTAATGGCTGCAATGAACAGTTTGCAGGCAAATTCCCCCAAGTCCCACATACCTTGTGTTCAGGACTTGTGAATAACAACTGCTCTTCTGAAAACAAGGACTTGCTCGCAGACTATCTGTTGGCAGTGAGTAGAAAACATGGTATTTGGAATGAATAATCCGACAGAGGGAAACAAATAATACCCACATGCTCTTATTTGGTGCATAACGCGGGCTCGTTGATCGTGGCATGCGCGTCGCCAGCAGTACCCGAGCTGCCCTGGCGCGGGGCGCAGGCCAGCGCAGCGCGGGGAGCGGTTGGCGCCGGCTGCACGGCTCAGCCTTCCCCCCTGCTGTGAGTATTCAGCGCCATTACTCACCCCGCGTCCCGCGAGCCCACAGGGCAGCGCTGGGGAAGGGCCCACTCGAGGCAGGGCCGCWGAGAGCGCTGTGCTGCGCTGCACAAGCGGGTGCTGCCTCCTATGCACCAGCACCAAACTGTCCCCCGAGACCTGCTCTTGGAAAGATCTCTTCTGTTACTTCAGTGCAGGCTTCCTCCAGCTGCTTCAAGGCCCCCCACACAAATACATCCCGTTTATTCATATTAGCATCTGACCAGGCATAGTTTTTTGCTTGGCCAAAGCAGTCTTTCTGTCCAAGTGTCCTCCTGTCCCAGCATCATGCTTCTGTTTGTTTTGAACAGGAATGTATTCCACATCCAAAGTGAAATAACCTGAGATGGAAAGTCCCTTGTTGCACTACATAAATTTGTTGCATCCTGTTGCATCTACATACATTTGCCATTTTGGAGACCACCAAGTGAGCCAGATCATTGTGTGTTTCTATGGGACAAGATGCAGAGCTGCTCTCCTCCTAGACAGCAATCTCATGCTAGGTTTTTCTCATCCCAAAGAGGTTTAATAGGGAACATTTATTTCCCTGATGTTTGGAACATAGAGAAAAGACTACCAGAATCAAAGTCCAAAGCAGGCAAGAGCATCTTAAAAATATCCAGGATGTAGCTTTCACATTTTTTGTTGCACTGGTTAGCAACACTTCAAAAATGTTTCCCCTGACGGGTCTTAACCATTCCTTGTGTGTACGTCTGCTCACACATATCCCCACACACAGGGAAATCGGATGAAGAGCTGTGAGAGAAAAAAAGACAGTGTCAAATCTTCCTCCTTGCTCCAGTTTACTTAAGCTACATCTGTTTTTTTTTCTTTTTTTTATTACTAAAGGTAGTTTTTGAGAAAGACGTGTCATCTATAAGTTCTTTTAAAATGCTTAGAAAGTATCTGATAGTGCAAAATTTGAGAATAAATAATAATTATATGTGTTTTCTGTGAAATGGGCACCAGAGAGGCTTTGAAAGTGCAAGTTAGCAGTCCTGTTCTTACAGGAAAAAAATATGGTGATTTTCCTGATGGAGACAGATTCATCCATGTCACAGCTAGTGAAGTTAGTTCAGACTGGATGAGACTGGTCTATAAAATCAGAGCAGCAAGGTAAATTAAATATGATCTGATTGAATCTAGCACAAGATCTGTTAGTGTATGTGAAAATGTAATACAGGCTGGTTTACCTGTTACAAAATTCTCTAGTCACTTCCATCAGAACAGAGTTACACTGCTGTACTCGCCTCTGCTCAGTTGCTGAATACCATCAAGAAGACAACCTGTGGCTTTGCAACATGCTTACCCTCCTGACACACAATAAACTAGAAAGAAAACAAGTCAAACTCTGCCTTGCTGCTTTTGCTGTCTCTCCACAAGCAGAAGGCAGAGAGAATCCAGGACATGTGTGTGTCCTCGTGCCAGGCAGCCTGCTTCATATTTTGCAGCCATGATGATGCCAGAGCTAAGGCGGCATCTACTTAGAATCATAGCTAAGATTGAAAACAGATTTATACAGCACTTTTGAGCATGCTATTAGTGCAATGAGAAAACTGCTTCTCATTTCTTTTTTTTTTTTCTCCTAAAAACTCACACTATTTTGTTGATTTTTCATTGGTTAGGATTTATTATTTTTGAATTACGTGAATAACAAAGGGGTCTAAGGAGTTCAATTCCTACTCCAGGAATAAAACAGATGGCTGTTCACATGAGCAAACAGTAATTTATCTACTTGCAGGCAGGAACTGTGTCTCAAACATTGCTGGTCACAGTTAAGGTGATACATCACGTAAGTTCAGGTTACAAAATACTTAAAGTGTTTAAAACGCCTATTCTGTATCTGCTAGCTACAATAAAGCAGCTAGAAGCAAGAAGTGTATCCCAGATATACTGAGCTGACCATTAACACGTGCAGGTGGAGTATAAGAGACCACAGATCTGCAGCAGTCAAACTTAGAACAGTAGCAAAGAAGGAAGAGAATTTTAAATAAGATCTGCTGAAGTGCTCACACAAAGAGACCGAAGGCAACCAAGCTCCCCACCAGGAGGGCAGTGCTCTCACTTTGAAGATTCAAATCTGAGTGCCACATTTCAGCACAGCTCATGGACAACCAGGCCAAAGGTATTGACACAAGATGCTACTGTTTGCATTTCATGGGTCTGTGTTTGAAGATGTGGATGGTGTTTGCAGATAACAATTTTCCACCAGACAGAGCTAGTGTCTGGCGTTCTTTCCATATTTTTATGTCTACAGTGTGCTGTATTCTGGCTGACCAATCCACAAACAGATTTCTTTACCAGATACAACATAAACTTGTGATTAGAAATATGCAAGAACAGAACAGTAAAAAATTAGCATTCATCCGCAAAAACTATAAGTCATGTTCAGCTTATAGACTCTTTCACAGAAACAGTCAAGAAAGACAGAAGATACAGAAAAAATACAAGTAAAAATTGGAGTTTGTAACTCTGCTTTGGAAGTGAGGTAAAATACAGAAGGGGAGAAGTTTAAATAACTAGTGATGTTCATACATAGTCCAAAATGGAGTTAAACCTTCTATTCCAAATGTTTCTGCTTTCAAATTGAGCTTACATGTTATTCATTATGCATGGGCTTGAATTGAATCTTCAGTCAACTGCTTCCTCCATTCTTCTCACTCTTAGTCAGGTCAGGCTCTAAATTACAATGTATCTCATGCCATAAATCATATTTTTCCTCAACCTTTGTACATTTAAATAAATAAGCTGTGGTGTGGAACCAGAATTCGGCACTTCTGTGATTTGCCTCACCTCTCAGTTCTCTGTCATTCTGCTTGTCAGATGAGCAGCTCACATTACCAGCAAGATAGCACAGAATCACCAAAAACATGAAAAGCTATTTCACTGTTTTGTGGGAAAAAAAAAAAAAAAAGAGCTATAAAAGCCTTTCATTTTCAAATACCCAAATCGATTGCTTTCTGTCACTTTAAATATAGCATAAGCATATTAAAGTACAGTATATATGATGTAGCACATTAATATACTTAGCAGATGGATAACATTTGCCCATGATTTAATACTTAGATATAGTCATTTCACATCTACTGTACAAACACTTCATATATTTGGATCTTTAAGTTAGACTTATCTTCAGACTAGTGGCAATTGAGTCACATGAGCATAGGATTTAGTTTATTAGTTCCATAACCTTACTGGTATTTTGGCAAACCTGATTAAAAAAAAAAAACTTGCATCTGGATTTTAATACATTTCACAGGATTTCCTTTTCCA